GGTGATTCATGACTGTTGATCATTACCTAATGCTAATGAATAGATATCGATTAGATGAGCGATCGAGTGCGACGACGTCGCAGTCGTGAATTACGAGCTCCACGAAACGATGGGGGACTGTCACCGGCGTCACGACTTCGGATAGCTGCAGACGTCCATCGCCATTCGACCAGTGACGATGATTCCGGTTGTGTCCTTGAAGAGTACGCATGGGTCCCCAGCGGGCTTAAACCGAATATGGTAAGATTTTTGGAACTTATTTCCATAAAGAAAGATTCCGTGAGGTAATCCGTTCCAGGTGCATATGTTCTTCGCCACTCTTCCCCGAAGAGAAGGTGCCTTACGTGAACAGCGCCGGCGAAAAATGGCGAATTCGACAACTGCGCCATCAGCTACCGCCACAGGACTCCGATCCCCGATACTGTTCCCGGCTCACTGCGGAAGAAGAAGATGAACTGAGGTTCAGCCAGATTCTACCACTTCTATGCGTTCTATGGTTCTTCTGAGTCTGAAGGTGGTTTTTCAGACTTTTTGAGCGCCGACGAAAGGCCGAATGCCTGGGACGAGGCACTGTTGAGCGCGTGCCATATGACGAGCGAAGTCGCAAGTGTGCTTCGGTGAGTTTCATTCTCTTTCTGCTGTCATATTCGATTTTTCACTTCATCTCCATAAACGCTGAGAATTTCCTGAGTCCTCCAAACCGGTTACATCTCTTCGCTTGCCATTCCCTCACTATTACCCGTCAATCTGCGATAACTAAAGGACCTTGCGAGTGGAAACGGTATTCCGGGAAAGAAGACTCTCCCTGACAATGAGTCATGGGCAAAAGTCAGGCCTCCAGGCGGGAATAGAGCCCGAATCTCCCGGATAGTTGCGTTATCCATTACGCTACCTGTTTCGAGTCCCGTACTGGATCTGACCTTCTGCCCATAAATCAGCACCTTTGTGATAACTTTCGGGGCGCGCACTGCGGCGTTAAATACCAGTTATCAGAGTGAAACTGCTTCAAAACTCTTTCTGAGGTTCAGAAGTGCTTCCGCTTATCGAAAAGGAAATGTCAGCCGCAGAGAAGGTTGGGGATGAATTGGCGCTGCGGAACCATGACGAAGCTTCCCGTTGCGGCCAGCTTTACCGCATGAATCATGCGATGGATTTGCGATCGCCTGGCAGACGGGATATGGCTGGCCGTAAAAAACGACCCAGAGCCGGGGCCGCTTCTTCAACGCAGCGATACGGATCGGCGGCGGTGACCCTCATCACTAGCCCAGTGCGCTCAGCTGGTGGAAGAGATCAATCAATCAACTGCAACCGGGAGACAGGGTGGAAGCAGATGCGCTAACAAAGTTGTTTTCAATGGCGATTGCAATCATATCCCCATTTCACTCTCGACGAGGTGAAGGGGAGGGGGCAGGAGAGCAAAAGAAATGTCCGCTTTCCTTATGAATTTACCCATGAGAGTCTTTGAAGGCACAGACTTCTGCTCCGTTTTCCTCTTTCTAGGTTTTTGTCGTGCTTGATGATGCAGGAATTGGAAGAGGTGAAGCTTTAGCTCTCCTTTCCGATGTATAAGGTGAATTTTTCCCGAAAGACTGCTCGGACTCGCTCCTTTAGGCTAGGCACTCCTGATTTTGATTTTGTTCGTTTCTCCTTGTCCATGTGACATTCTGCGACCAATGTGACCCACAAATCCCAAGTTTTCACTCCTGAAAGGTGGCTCATCCGCCCCAGAACTCCTTCTTCTTCCTCTTCCCTGAGAAAACCCATCCACAAGTTCAGGATTTGGCGCTCACTCATTCCATGTCCTAGCAGCTGCTCTTCTTAATTGATCTGCTACTTCTTCTCCCGCGGCAGGACCATGGAATAAGGTCCAGACGGTCAAGTGACTGTTTGGACCTTTGGCATGACCATGGAAAAAGGCCTAAACGATTAGAAGACCTTAAGTTTGCCTTTCCTTCTGTGGTAATTTATCTCTCTGTTTTTATGTTATGGGTTTATTTCTATTCCGAGCCTGTTTCTCCCGCCTCCTGTTCTTTGATTACTTAGAGATCCTTGACGTGAACATGATTAGTGTTTGACCCTGGAGCTGTCCAATGGAGACTGCCAGATGGACGGTGCCACTGTCACAGCTCATCCATTCAGGATATGCCTAATTGTCGGTCACTTGAGAACGCGCGCCGGCCAAACATGCCGGCCTTGTCAGTTCTTTACTGAGGCTCTCTCCTTATTACTGTTACGAACCCGCCAATAAGAGGTTTTTGTAATAAGTGCCCTTTTTTGGTTCGCGGAGCCTCAAAGAAAAGGGCTAGGGCCCTAGAAATGCATGAAAGGAGGGCACAATTGTTCCCACCCTATGTCGCCATGGAGCCCATCCTACTGCGGGGAGAATCGCAATTAATCAGGATCACCCTCTCGTGTTACTCCCATGGGGTTTGGCTGGTGTGTGAATGGGCGTCAACCTGCGATTCTGTTTCTGTAGAGGATGAGGTTACGAGCGGTTGGCTGAACTCGTTAACGGCAAGGTGTGGGCGATTTCATCGTATACGAGCTGCAGGAGGTCGCATCGGTGGAGGTCGTAAAGACAGCTCTGAATAGCTGAACAATTCATCGATTCGTCGTCACACCGGTGAAAACTTAACACTCAACTTTCTAGTGGTCGTAACAGTTTCACGAGTGTACACTGGCTGGGTTTTGGTGCTCGGTCGAGGCTTATTGGCGGACCACCCACACTTCAGACACACGGGGGCTCTTATAATCTGGTGTAAATTAGACGACAATCGGTAGAGCTGCCAAAATCCGATCACCCCTCTGCAGTGCCCCACACAGTTGACCTTGCTTAAAATCGTTAAGGCTCTTGAATACCTATTTAACCTCGTTCGTAGTTTGTGAAGGCTATAGGCAATGCAAAGGTCAACGAATTCGCTCCTCGCAGAAAAGTCTTACTTCATTCACTTGAGCGAGAGAAAATAAGCTGGGGCATGATAGTGTTTTCCCCACTAGTCCCTCCCACAGACGCCTTCAACTCGCCGCCTTTTCTCCGCACTTGGATTTTCACGGAACTGCGAGGGTCATTATTTTCCGTTGTCTTACCTTTTGGGTGCGCAAAAAACATCTTTTTGAGCCAGGTGCAAAGAAACTAAGCTGCTGTGTTGGCTGGGCCCCACCTTCTCGCGCATATTTTTGGCATGGCCTGTAATTTCTAATTAGTCGGTCGTAGCCGTCTTAACGCGTTGTTACAGATTCAGCCCACGTTTCGGCTCCTTCGCCTCCACCAGACCTGAACGGATCAGAAGCAAGAGGGATTTCCCCTTCTTTCAAATGCCCACGCAAAAACTGATGATGTTCCAGGCAAAGCTGGCAAACCACCTGGAAAGTAACAATCGAGGGCAGATAAATCGGCTCACCTTGGCTTCCATGAGGGAGATCGACCACCCAAGCTGGATTGAAGTGTTGCCTATTATCGAGGCGGTCCATAAGGCGAAGTTTCTAACAGGATCGGGGATTAGGGCGACCACACATTAGAGCGATATTTCAGTAAACCAGGCGTTCTTGCGCAAAGTACCCATGCCTTTTCAAACCACGAAAAACATATCCTCAAATGAGGGAAGGTGAAGGAGAGTTCTAGGAAGCGATTGTCATCGTGAGGATGAAGATTCTTGCCTGGGACTCAGAAGGACGACATTCTGGCACAGGTGCACAAAATGTTCCTCTTACTGTAATAGAGCTACCATTGAGGTTCTTCCTGGTTTTGTTCAAGAGCCGCTTACTAGATAGGCTTTGCACGAGAGAAAATCTTGGGATGGCTTCACCTACCTCAGCAACGGGGCCTCATTCTCCTCCTCCATTTTCTTAGGATCCCAGCATTTTACTTGTTTAGTTGGTGCGTCAACTAGTAACGAATTTGCTGCGCCTGTCTGAGTGACGTATTTGCTAGCAGCAGGACACTTCTTGCCGTTGGGGGAAATTTTGGCAGTTACTGCCCCGCTCTTCTATATCCGATCAAATTTTGATCGATATTTTTTTCAGTGGGTGGAAGTGACTGAATTTTTCTCCAGGGGTTCCTTGACCCACTGAATTCCAATATCGCGTGGCCCGGTTGGGAGACTGTCTTCCGCTTGCACCACAGGCGCCGTCTCCGAAATTCTTGCTGCACTAGATTTGGTGAAAAATTGCCTTCAAGGTATTTTGACCTTCTGGACGCGAGAACCACACTAGCTTTGAGCGGAAACATTTGAAACGGTATGGCTTGAATTGTGGAGAGGGGGGGGGGCGTAAAGGGTGTGTAGTGCCAAAAATATTTTGCAAATATTCCCTCAAGCTTTCCTCCCTGCCCTCTCCCTTCCTACCCCTGCCGACCCACCCTCTCTCACCCTGCCTGTTTCAACCACATTTTTGAATTTTTTTTCCAAAGCTCTCTTTTTTCCCCCAGAAAACCGTCTCCGAACGAGGGATGGGGGAGGGGTATTTGGAGCACTTGAAACGAAGAAAAATCAAAACATTTTTTTAGAGACAAACAGGATCCCTAGAGACTACCAACGTATAACTTGCCTTGATTAACAGACTTTTCTGCATTTTACTATTACCACTTTACTATTTCTGCATTTTAGGGATTCATCCTGTGGAACATACACACATGTTCCACAGCATGAATTCCTTCTGCGCCTTATCGTAACAATCTCAAATCCATCTTTCCATCAATCTCTAACAACCATCAAATACTGCCTTCGCTTTCGGAGATATTTTGTGAGTGAATGGCTCTGATGGGTGTTGCATCTGTCGATGAAGCTCTCTTGGACGGGAGCCATATTCACAAATGCACACATAGCCAGTCCACACATATCGTTTTCGCTGCTTGACCCTCGCGCATCGCCCGCACAGCTGTCATGCGCTGGCTGATCCGTGATACCGAAAAGCAAATCCCTGTCTACACCCAGGATCATCCTTTCATCTTTATGGGTACTAAAGGGTCAGAAATCACCGCTACTGGAGAGTAGCGGGGAAGTGTCAAAGGAAGGTTTGCAGTAGTCTAAAAACGTACAATCCGTTGTTGCGAGGCCCAAGTCGGCTAACAGAGGCCGTTTGAAGCGCAGCCCATTGCGTTGAAAATGAGCTGCACACTCCGTTATGTGAGATGAGAAATGCCTTGACAATCGTAGGAGTGACGGAAACTCCAGCTAGCGGACGGAAATAGTTTTCTTGTTCGAAGCAGGCTTCGCGATTGCGAATCCATTACAGGCGTCCTGCTCAGAACCTTATGAAGAGGACACCCTGCCCTTTTTAATAAACTCTTGAAATGACGGCTTCCTCCGTTAAAAGACTCCCTGAACTACGCGTTCCCTCTCTCAAAATTCCGCTTTGGTGCCGACCCCGCCCACATCCCTCTCCTCTCGTCACGCTTTTCATCTTTCCAAACACATACCTACCACCTTTCCCAACAACCCTTTCTCTCAAACTCCTCAAGAAAAAGTCCACTCTCCAAAATGCGATCCAGCCATCAGCCGGGGTACGGGGGCACGCATATACAAGATAAATGAGCGAATAGATTCGCAGAAAGTGACACCCGGCAACGATTTCTATATCAACAGACCAGTATGACCCTTTCGCCCCCTCCCTTATACCCAGTTAGAGGAGTGGGGTTCACAGCCAGGGCAGTCGTACATTGAGGATCCCTTCGTTAGGGATCCCCAACGTACGACGTGCCCTGGCTGTGAACCCCACTCCTTTAGTGCTCAGTTCTCTCTCCGTTAAAAAGCTTAGAAAGAGGCTAGAGGTCCGAGCCTACCTAACGCGATAAGGGTTACATTTGTCGCTAATCTCAAATTGTAACTAATTTGAAGCAAGCTCACCTCTCTTCATCAACTCATGGTCAGTATCCGGTTCGCTTATCAGTTGTCTAGTGGTTCGAGAGGTTCAATAATATAGAACTTTCCCGCAATGATAACACTATTGCCACGGCCTCATTCCAAAGCAGTTATATTCTTGGAGAAGCCTGTGGGCCCTTTTAAGAATTCAGTGATGCAACGAAATCGGTGATTCCTGGAGAGAATCGTTCACAGCTGTCTATGGATTGTGTCATTTATGTTATGTTGGCGTTCGAATTGTATCATCAGCTGGCAAAGTGTTCGCCTCGACATGCAATGTGGTTGAAATATGCGATAGCGAATGCAAATCGCTAAGCGTCATGCATTCACTGCGTAGGAGATGGAGGGGTGCTCTAATGTTATGAACATCCCGTGGCACGCAATAGTGCACGAGCAAGTTGACTCCTGGAAAAGTGTGTCCGGAATAAATAGGAATGGATCGTTTATGTAGGAAGATCGCATCCCGATAGAGAGGAAGTTCGGGAAATTAACAGCAAATTTGTGACGTATTCTGACTTATGTCTTTCTTGTACTAGCATGCGACTATCTTTTTTTCTTGGATATAAACAGCAATTGTTAATACCGCATCGCGGAAGGGCCTTATTTGAGGTCTCAAACGGCTTATCAAAAAAGCTGATGGTTTGAGAGATATATTAGGTTGGCGGGAAAGTTCCGTCACATTTTTCAAAATAGGCTTTCTTTTTATAGAGA